ATCAGAATTTTGTGTAGGTTTAGAAGCCTGAGTCACAATGAAAGATTGAACTCAACTGGAAGTGCCACAGTGCTTTAGGTTGAAGTTGTTTTTAGGTTGTCTCCCACATAAATTGAAGCGAGGCTTAAATAAAAGATAGAAATAGAAATAAATAGAAATATTATAGAAGCAGGGCACCAAAATCTTATGGAAGGAAACAAATTAACTAGTTCTGAAAGTAGTGCCTTAGGTAGCAGGATTCAAACCCTGGCTTGAAATATGTCCAACAGTTTAGAAATCTGCACTTACTTAAAAAAAAATATATCTGTGTGTGTGTGTGTGTGTGTGTGTGTGTGTGTGTGTGTGTGTGTGTGTGTTTCTAGAAGAATTCCAACTATAAGAATATAAATAGGTAAAGGAATGAAGTTTTATTACCAAAGCAGCTATAGCCATTGAGAATTTCATTAAGGGAAAGTTCATGTCAAAGCTGATGACATCACAGCACATTCACAGCACATAGGGTATTCTCGACAAAGCGGTGCACTTTCTGCTTAGAAAACACACCTGGAACTTTGACATGATACATGCTGCTTCTCAAGTCATGCCTTATTGTTAGTTCATGGCCAAAGTCCTTATGGGCAAACAAGGAAGTCCTGCATCAACCTGACCCTGAAACATACACTGAATAGGTACCTCTGCGTAATAATATGTCCAAGTTTTAATATCACAGAGGAAACGCCAATATGAAACAATAATCCAACAATAACGATGACAAAACTCTTGGTAAAAGTCACTGCAATTAGAAGCCTGCCAGGTCAAAGCTGTCACTGAACATTGGACGTTTAGCCTGAAACTTGCAGATATTATTTTGTCAGGATTAATAGTCAATCCTATGGAAAAGTTAGGATGAGAAGACAGTGCTAAGGATTTAGAAAAAGCAGCACTGGGGACAATTGCTCTGTTGAAGGTTCACTGTGCTGGCAATGGAGGGCCTCCTCAAATTTAACTGCAAACACCTTCAGGACCACTTCATAACGTCCAGTTATGCCAGCCCCCTTCTGTGTGAGCAGCCAGAGACTGGACTGGCCAACTAAGATTCTAGTTGTTCCTTTACCTGAATGCTCACTTGTTTGTGTTTTCTAATAGCTAATTTCTGTACTTCATAAGCTCTTCCAGGTCTCCCATTACACTTCCAAAGTGCTCACTCTGTGCCCTTGATTTTAGGCCACCTTGTGGTGGGATCCGACCTCTGATATACCTGATAAATTTGATCGGCTGTGCTATCTATATACACAAATGTGCATGACCGTGAAATAAGCGCTTAATTAGCTTAAACAAAATTGCCTAATGTGCTAAGAGAATAAGTGACTATAGTTTTCAAATATAAAAGTTTTGTTCTATTTTTGGAAAAGAGATAATAAACATAAAGATTATATCTCTCTACCCCCCAAGTACCTGAAAAATGAATTTTTAATTAACATGCAATAGTCTATTTCTGTTCCTCATGTGGTGAAAGCTTTGTTAGAATACAAATCACTTGGCATCACATTAAAATACATTCTGTAGGCTTCTTTACATCAACTACGTAAATTTCAGTTTAGAGATTGTTACAAAAAAATAGGTAACGTGTCATTAATTATTAACTAAATAATAATTTCTGATACATAATGTACTAATGGCAGCTTGCAGAGTTGATATTTTTCTTCTGTTTTGTCATCACTTCAGAAACCATAAGAAAAAAAAATATTGCTCTAGAATAAAAGAGTGTACCTTTTCAAATGTTCATGGTTTCTTGTGTACCTAAAACACTCAAACCTATAGTTTTCAAGCAATTTAATTCTGAATTTAAAAATACTTTTAGATTGTTGTACATGAAGACTTCAAGTTTAAAAGAAATTACGTGACAAACATGAAGTGCTTAAAATATTGTTTAATTTATAAACCAGTGCACATTATTACAGCCTTAGCTCTTTCTTATTGTTGTCATTCCACTGCTAATATATATATCTATCCCTCAATACGATGTATTCTCATTTTACTTAGCAACACATTTATTGTAATTCAAAACTCTGTTTTCATGTAGTCCATTTAATCTAAGTTTATTATTTCAACTTTCACATCACCAATGGGCAACTAAAATATTGTCGCCTAGTTTTCTTCCTATTTCCTTTCGCCATATGCCGATCGAATTCTTTTGCATCATGACTTTTCTGAACTGTTCGGCTTGTGTCTTTAATGAAACAGATTCTCCTCGCCTAAGCAGAGAAGTCTGCTATACATGTAAGTCACCCGGGAGCCTGGCCAAAGTCTGCAGCAGCACAGCTGAAGGGTACAGCCATTTCACAGGGGCCGCGGCCAGTGTTTGGTTTGCTTCTCTAACTTGCTAAAAATAGTCCATTACACAGGCTACCTCCATCTCACGGCTCAAGAACTCACAAAAGGCCTGACTGGGGATCGCAGCAACACACAGCACACGTTTTATTAAAGAAGTCAGGATATTGCAAGTTTTCTCAATTCCTTCCGTTTACTTGCTGAGACAATACAAATGGTCGAGCAGTTACTGGCATGGAAATCTCATAATGCTCCCAAATTTCAGAACTTCAGGCATGAGTCACAGACTTGCTCTAACTGTTTTTAAATATGTTTTTGATCTATTTTAGCCACAAAATTGAACACAGGAAGGCTACTCTACAAAAGATAGGATTCCAAAAACTGTATTAAGAATCACATGTGTTAGAATTATATCTTTTTTTTAAAAAAACAACAACTAATTTTTGAAACATGAATACTTAATTACCTTTTCAAAAATCCTAAAATGAATTCTAAATATAGTTATCTCACTCACATTCAAGGAACTACTGCTCTGGGAATGAAGCTTCGCAATAAATACATATGTGTCTTCTTCCTCAGATTCAAATCAAAATATGGTTTTTAAATCAGGTTTGAGACTGGAAAGTAAATTTCGGTTTCTCTTAGGAAGACGAAGAAGAGAGACGAAGCCTGCATTGATTAGCTGCTAAAATGGGTTCCTTTCATCAGTCAATTTTTAAACCTTCAAATTATTTGTTGTTTAAAAATATATATATATAAGTCCTTGATGTGGCGGTTGGATCTTGTTAACCACACAGCGTGTCTCTAAGCAAAGCTGCTGCTCTACTCAAAGGGAGACTGTTCCGCGGCCACAAGTGAGCAGCGACTAAGAAAAATATTTTGAGATGGAGAAATAGCAACTGAATCTGAATGTTCCATAATGTTCCCAAAAGCTGTGGAGGCAAGTCTTCTGTGAAACCACTCAATGTCACAGCCAAGCTAAATGTCCTTCATTTTGCAGCTATGAGTGCACCATGGACTGTCCGTAGGATTAAAAATTGGATTTACTCGTAATTGGGTCAAAACAGGGTTACTTATGGACACAGCTGTTTACTGACAAGTGTAATTAGCCCTTTGCCCCTCGTTTTATGGATCCCCGTTTCTAATTGCACCTAAATTCAGTCGGCATGAATTGAGGAATACATGTTCACAAAGCTAAAGCCACTGTGCCCTTCAATGGTGTCTTCAGAGGAAGGGGTGGGGTGGGGTGGGGAGGAGAGGGAGAAAGAACCCAAATGATCATTTATAACTTCTGCTTACTGATCTTTAGGATTAGGACATTAAGAATGATCTAATATTATAAGTTATCTGTGTCACTGTTAATACCCTTTTCTATTTTTTAAATCCTACTCTGAAGATAATATCCTTGAGTCTTCGGAGAAAACTTTAGCAAAATGAGCAGCCCAAACTGGACCAAAAAAGCAATTAACTGAAGTAGTTAACTCTTAAGTGCACGCACGGCATCTGAGTGAATTGTATGTTGGCTTGTGAGTGAACTATTTCAGTTAATTCTCCCCATGTTACTATCATAAATAAAGCATTATAGGATAACCCTATTTTTTTTCTTTTGCAAAACAAAGGATAAAACTATGAGACTTTTACTTCTCTATGTATATACGTAGAAAAGACAGAGATTCCTGTCACAAAAGCTCAAAGAGGGAATTATATTGGCACGTTAGTATTTAAAAGGCAATTGAATTAAAGCAAATGACAGAGCACCCAGGAATCTTCACACTCCTAGACTTGACCTTGCATGTCAAAACTAAAGACAGTTATGCTGTTTTTTAAAAGAGCCACTCTTAACTCTGATACCTGAAATACAAGGACATTTCTGAAGGTCTAAAGTGAATCTTTTAATATTATGGTGCCCACTAACTAACTCTTAATATTTCTAGCTGAGATTGTTACAAATAAAAAAAAATAATTAGGATCTAACAGAAAATAAAGTTCCTTCCCATTAGAAATTTAGAAGCTAAAAAAAAAACTCCAATGAATAATAGTACTTAAGAGTTTCTACTTATTTATTAAACTCAGATTCAATAAACTTTATGGCTTAGACAGGGTGCCGTAGGCAGCAGATCAGAATGTCTAATTATTTTTTTCCACAAATTGCATTGCTTCTGGCCTTAAAACAATATGCTCATACAGTGAAAAGGAAATCCATAACGTCAAAATATGAATATAAAACATCTTTCCAAGTTTAGCTGACCTAATATTTGCTATTCTTTTACAACATGACAGGACTTTTACAAACAAGCAAAATCAAACAAATCTTCAGTCAGCTTCTGCCATGGCCTTGAATATAACCTATGCATATGCTAACACACACATGTATCTCCGTTTACTATTCCTATAGATACCCACTTATTACTAAGCTAAAAAGCTGACACTTTCTGCTTTAGAAAAAAAAAAAAAAAAAGGCATAGCATTCAAGGACTGGTAAAGTTATTCATAACAAACAAGTTTGGCCAGGCTTGCTTCTATTCGATCTCCATCAAGTTCCCCTCCAACCCCGACATCATCAACAAGCACACCCTGTGGAACTAAACTATTAACAGAGCAATCCATAATCCCAAACTCGGGGAACTCTGTGTCCACATCCCCTTCATTCAATTATCGCATAGCCTTAAAATAATAGAACAGTTACTCACTTTCAATGAATCAAAGCAGGCGATTACGCGTCCATTTTCAACTTGGCAGCTTTTCGAAGGATGTGCAAATTTACATTCCGTGTCTGGCCGTGAGCAAGTCCCCCTTTGGAACTCTCTACATACTTCCAGTGTTAGCCATTTTGTGTCCCGAATCGGTGCGACACTAACAGCCATGTTTAGATTTTTACAGGTAGTTAAAATTTTCAGTGAAACCAACCAACCCAACCCCCCTCAAAAAAAAAAAAAAAACACACCAAAAAACACAAAAACAACTAAAAAAAAAAAAAATTCTGAACTGATCAAACTGTAAAAGGATGATGAAAACGTCCCCTCCAAAAGACTTTTACCCCCACTCCCTGCTTTAAAAGTACATGGAAAACTGTGTTGTCAATAACAAGGAAAAGATCCCCCACGAGAAATTCACAGCATGAAACTGTTAATTCAAAGAGGTTTTGGTTTTGGGGGGTGTTTTTTTGTTTGTTTTGTTTTTTTTAGAGGAATCCTAGGATCTTAAGTAGATGGACGTGTAAAAGGAGGGCCCGGAATCAGCCTTGTGCTCTCAGTAACCCCTTCCCAGAGCCAATTTGGAGCCCAAAATGCAAGCATGAAAACGTGGCAGACCCCTGGACACCGATTTTCCAAGCTGCTCTCAGCAAAGTTGTCTGAAAGGGAATCTCCTCAACAGCTGAATTTGCAATGGAGTTTGGTGGTGCAATCGGTATTGATTAGTTTGGCATAGACAGATGCAGCAGTTTAGAGCAAAATCGAGAAAAAAAAATTGATTTTTGTTTGTTTGCTTGTTTTCCTCCTTGATTTCCTGGCAGAAGAGATCTGACTTTTTGTCAGCAAACTTTTCTTTCCAAAAAAAAAAAAAAAAAAAAAAAAAAACTAAAGCAGCCTAGGGCAATGCCAGATACTTAGAGCTTTTTTTTTCTCTTGATTTCTAAGTAGAAATGGGGGTGTCTGGGCTAGAGGTGGAGGGTGGATGTGCTGTCGTCACAGTCTAGCTGGCAGCAAGCAAGGCAAAAGCAGAGACTGCTCTAGAAGCGGTTCCAAGCAGCAGAGACGTCAGGAAAGGCACTTCTTTAGTACCAACCTGTAGAAAAAAGAGATAGGTTAAGATTTACTAAAGTAGCACTTCCCCGATGTCCTACAGTACCACAACCTTGCCATGTGCTGCCAGACTAAGTCACATCCCTGTCAGCTCTCTTGCTCTCTCTCTGTCTCTCTCTGTCTCTCTCTCACCACACACACACGCACACACACACACACTCACTCACTCACACACACAATACTTACAGTGAGGCATATTGCAGCCAGCCATCGGAGATTTTATTAAAAAAGGGGGCCGTTTCCCCTTGTGAAGCAATGCATGATAGAGAGATAACCAATCACAGATAGCGTTGCAGCACTATTCTGGGCAGAAAGCCAATGGTGTGGGTTGTCTTATGAAAGGTCGCGCCTGTCAGACGTTCATTACTATGCCATAAGCACAGAAAATGTCCATCAGATGTGACTTATTCCACTGCAAGAGGACGAGCATGTGGGTTTTGAATTTACCCAACATGCAGCGAGTGGACTAAACCATGTTAGTTTCAAAACAGCTCCGGAGGCAAGTCCGAGCACTTGGAGATCATGGCCAGAGGGGGAGAACAAGAAAAGCAAGGTTTAAAAAAAATTTAAAAAAAAAAATGTGCAGCTGACTTCCAAACTGCATTCCCCCTGGGGGCTCTGAGCAGGGCCGGGCTGGGAGCAGCCTGTGCCTGCTGCCCTGACACGTGAATCAAAAAGGAAAGGGGTGTTTCCGAATGGTACGTTCTCCTGACCTATCCAATTCACTTCCTTCTGAAGCCCGGAGTCCTGCCCCTGCGCCGAAAGCAGCAACTCCTACAGTAAAACTATTCCATTCAGCCGGCAGACACTTTGTCAATATATATCCCAGGCAGGCGAGATCGGAACAAAAGCATCCTTTATTCATACTTTTTTTTTTTTAAGCTGAAGCTGAGGTCATGTGGGGGAAAGAAGGAGCGCAGTGTTGTCAGGGTGTCTGGCAAATCTGAAGTCAACCTCCAGGGAGAAAGTGATTCCATGGCAGAAACATTAAATATTAAGTGGGCAATTGGGTTTGGGCAGCTAGCGGGATGCACTTCAGGGGTACAAGCGAAGCCAGAGGCTGGGGAAGGGGAGGTGTGATGTTGGAGGGGGATCCCCTATTGCCTAATTACCTCGGCACTACAAGACTGCTCCTGAGAGCAAGGCATTTTTGCTTTCAGCAACTTACTTTCTCTTTCATTCCTAAGGACAGGCTTTCAGAAAATGCTTAGCAGTCACAGGAGCAAATGTATCTATTTTTCGTGAATGTTATCAGCCAAGGAAACAAGGCTTTAATTACTTAGAAGTTTCACACTCCAAAGAGGCAATGAATGACACAGTAGTGTTTGATGATACTTCTTCAAGGGCCAAAATGGTCAATTGGCATATGGTGCATTTATAACCCAGACACTAGAAAATGGCCTATAATATAGACTACATAACTGAACCAGAAGATAGAGTATGAATATATATGACACACATGTAAACATGAATATCTAGAAAATATTTTTAAATTTTTATTTTAGGGTTAATACTGTCATTCTTAACATTATTATTTTTTTTTTTCAAAAACCTACCAGATACTTGGCTAAGAAAATATTGAAGTAACCCTACCACTTTTGAGAAAGGTAAAAAAGAACCAACTCATATCAATGCTCAAGAAATATTTTTGTTTTCAACATATTTTCTGGTCCTAATCCCTAGTGCTATCAGCACAAAGTCCCGTCAGTCATCAACTCTAACAGGCATCCACCTTCCTGAGTCTTTGCCCTGATTCAGAATTTCTCAGCTACTTCATGCCTTGAGCATGTGGCACACCTGAGTCAACAATCTCTGTTGTCCTTCCCTCTAGAGTTTTGAAATGCCTCACCTGCAACATTCACTTCCTGCAAAAGCCAGCTAAGAGGTCACCTCCTCCAAAAAGCGTCCAAGAGGCCTTGTCCTCCCTCTCCATTCATATATTAGCTTGCCTCTTCTGAACTACTACACTGCGCCCTATCCAGGGTTTTATTTCCTTATAGGTCTGGTCCACTGTCCCCAAGGGCAGAAATAATCTTTGCCTAGCATAGTGAGGAAAAAGAGATGGATCTCCATAAACGAGGATAAATCAAGTGATCAATGACTATATATAGACTGGAATTATCTCCAGGGCACAAAGATGCACGAACACACATATGAGCACACCCTTGTAAACATATTTAGGAGCGCAACACATGAATATGATCACATACTTGAACACACACATACACACACACCTATCACTACCGCTATAAATTACTACATCCCAGCGTCACGTCTAGAAATCGCCTTGGCCTGGACAGCTCCCTCACACATTCCACACAGCAACTTTTCCCAAACCTCATCCCTCTCCAGTCCCTACTCCTCCGTGTTCCTCTCTGTTAACAGGGGATGGTCTTATAGGGGAAGGTCTGACAGGTCACAGATATTTCCTAGTCCAAATAGCGGCCCTAGGGCATGAGCTCTCTCTCACCTTCCCACCACCCATCTCTACACTTTCTGCATCTTCTCAGTCTCCCAGGAGTTTTCCCTTCTCCTGCCCATAGTTGAGCTTCCGCCTTGATTCACCTTTTCTCAAGATTTCTTTCCCTTTATACTCCCTCAATATGTGAACTTTCCCTCAATTCTTTCTTAGCCCTCCAAGGGGTGAAGTAACTCCAGAATGGAGGTGGTGGCCTGGCAGGAGCCAGGGAACCCGGGTGGCTACGTGTCCCCCTCCCGGGAAAGCTCTCAAGCCATCATTCACAGTCTTATGTCTACAGTGTCATCTGCACGAGCTGTATTTCTGCTCCTTCCTCTCCCAGTCACCGTGGAATCTGTATCCGTGTGACCTCCACACCTATCACTTCACTGTGCAGCACAGCCCTCCATGCCCCAGAAAAGGCAAATCTAAAGCCTTCACTTGACCTCTAATACCATTTACAACTCCCTCTTTCTTCCTTTTTTTAAAAATTTTTAAATTACAGTGTACAGTCCATATTATTTTGTGTTCGTTTCAGGTGGACAGAATAGTGGTCAGACAATTATATATTTTACAAAGTGGTCCCCACCTAGCACCATTATATAGTTTACAATTTTATCGGGTAGAGAGGGTCAATGGGGAAAAGGAGAGACATCTGCAAATCTGTAATACTCTCAAAGATAAATTTAAAAAATAAAATTATATATATATATTTATATAATTTTTATATATATACAGATACATATGTGTGTGTGTGTGTTTGTGTATGTGTGTGTATACACACACTGAGTGGCCAGATTAGTATGTTATTATGATCTCTGAATGCATAATAATCTGGCCATTCAGTGTATATACATATATATTAATATATATTATCAACTCTATTCCCTATGCTGTACTTTACATCCCCATAACCATTCTGTAACTACCAATCTCTTCACCTTTTTCACCCAGTTCCCCAACCCTCCTCTGAGAACTTCCTCTGCTTTAAACCTTTCTCCTTATCTTGAACTGGCACAACCTAGCCTTTTGGTTTCTCCCAGTGCTAGCCTCCAGCCTCCTCCCTTTCAGAGAGGAGCCGGGAGGGGCCAGGAGGGTTCCTGGAATAGGCCATGCTGCTGGGAACTCCTGGGATTCCTTACAGGCTAACACTTTGTTTGGTTTGACACATACTTCTTCACCCCCTCAACCAGGCAAATCCCTTCTGCTGGTCTAAGTTGTTATTCAATCATCAACTCAATAAGACTGGGCTGAATATGGTAAACATTATTTCATCTCAGATTATTATCAGTACTTTGTATCTCTTGGTTCTTTTAACTGCTAGGTTATAGAATCCCTGTCAATAGGGTTTATCATCATATTTTTACCTGGTACCTAGAACAGAGATTTTTTTTTTAAATGTTTGATAAATAAATTTTATTTAAACTGATGATGATAAACATTGCTATGACTGTATAAGGATGTATCCCCATCCCTGGGAAAATATTTTAGCATCATCAATGGGGTCCACCTATATGAGGAAGGAGGATGGTACCATTAAAAATGTCCTCAATGCTTGGAAGTTATGCCCAAATACAACCTCAAAATCCATTTCTAGAAGTGA